ACGAAGACCCCGATAAATGAGTGACTGCATTACTTCAAATATTCACCTGTCCTATCCTGCTTGTGACAATTGTTCCACTTTCTCACTTCTCAAGTGTGATAAACTTATTTATCCATTTTATTTCAATCAAAAGAAACAAATATCCTCTATATATTTGAGACGACGGGCATTTTCAATTATATTAACATTGCAATTCTTTCAGAGACAAACCAAGTACATCATATTTCTGGCTCAAGCAGGCACTGTGGTGAAAACATCAATCTTCAGCTAAAATAGTGGGATAAATTTTGACAAGAAACAACAGCTGTTAGTAGGTTAGCATGCTAGACTATTCTCAGTGCTTGATATTAAAACAAGAGCCTGTAAAATGTAGAATTTTCTATGTTCAAAAAGGGCCATAATTCTGTCAAAATCTAAGTTAGAGTTATGGGGTCTTGAACAGTGGCCTCCTGTTAAATTTTCAAATAAGTGTACAAAGTTTCAACCCATACTAACTTGCACACAAAAACTTAACCAAAGTCAGTGATGGTGACACTGCTAAAGGCAGGATTCCACCCTGCTTCCCCCCCCCCCAACTCCAAAGTGGTGAGAGTTTTGAAGTCATCAAAACATCAACCTTAACCATTCCACCATGGTGGACATACGTCAATATATTTAAATATGGACAGTGTGTAATCATAAAAATCTGGTCATCTTAAACAAATTATTTTCCTCAGGGGACTTAAAAATATGAGCACAGAGAAATAGAAGGAAAGAAAATGCTAGTTAATTGCACAAGTATTTAAATAACCTTTTTTCACACGCACACACACACACACGGGCACACACACACACAAATACTTTGGTCTTGTTGACAATGGACATAAAATTAAAATTACAATCATACACAATTCTGAATAACTTAACAAGGAAAGAATAAATAATTAACATAAATACAAAAGTGAATATTTTATTGTATTTGTAAACATGTACATTATACATGTATTATACATGAAGTAAACATTCTAATAGTTTTTACATTAAATATATCTACTTACAGGTGCATGCACATTGAATCATTGATTGCCTGCAAAAATATGACAACAATTTGTATTGTGCCAAAAAATTTCTTGCAATTTCTTTACATCATTATGTATTATATAGAAGAACTTCTTGCAAATACTTGAAAAATCATATAGATGTTAGAACATTTAACTTGCTTGCAATTACTTCAAATCTTAAATGTATAAAGCTATATATTTACAGTGTTGGATGCTTAAGCTTATTGAAACACTCAAATCCGTTCCTGGAACCAACCTGTACTGAGCAATTACTGTACAATTTTTTTACCATTTTTTAATTTTAACAAGTTATTTCATCACATAAATATAGCTTCATACACTTTCTGTTCCATATAAGTCGATGCATTACTTGTCTGTCAATTACTTTACATCATTTTGTATCAGGAAAACATTCTTACAAGTTTAAAATTGACACATGACTGCACACCACTTTCTTGAATAAATTGTACATCATTTTGTACCATACAAACATATGCAAGGACTGCTTGCAAGGACTTTGCATGCATTTTGTATTTGACCGATGCAGCATATGCTAGCATGTACATCTTTTATACATACAAGTACATCAGTAAATATAAATTCTATTATGTCTTTGGGAGAAAAATCATGACTATTTGGATACATGGGACACTAAAAGTAAATGGGTAAATGGTAAAGAATTCAATGCAGTAAATACATCGGAATAAATACAATAAACTGAAATTATCTTAAACAACAAAATATATATCAAAGTAGGATTTATGTTTGAGTATAAAATAAATAGTTTTTCAAATAATATAATAATAGAGTCGTCAAAGTCTTAATAAAAATATAATATGGGACACTTAGTTGAAGCTATTCCAAGAAAAAAAAAAATAGTTTTCAACAATTTTTCAAATGATTTTGTGATTTTCAGGTACTAAAAATTTGGAAAATACCTGAAATACTGAAAAAATTCCAGGTTCAAAGCATAACCTAGCAACATCAATAAGAGCTAAATAAAGTTAAAAATTGACATTTGTAGGCCTTTTTATCAAACCACTTGCAAATTCAAATAATAAATTAAAAATTTTGTTTAGAGGGTATCCTGTCATGCATTTATGAAAGAAGCTACAAGCAGCGTAAGCCCTCCTTTATTGTTGCATTCTAAAATTGAGAGCAGGCAAAGTCACAAATCAGTGATTGAGATAGCATGGTTTAAGACAGCAGTACCCCCTTCAAATGATTTGTCAAAGAAATCATATTTCAGGCTACTGTTTGAAGTCATAATTACAAGAAATATCATTCTAAGCTATTTCTGCTGAGCTATATAAATTTATATACACTTGAATGACATAATGATAGATATATAATCATCAAACATACAAAATGACAGTATTCTTAACTAAAACTATGACACATGTTTTAACGTTATAAACCTTTGACCCTTTTACGTGAGTACGCAAGGTACACTGTATTTAATAAAAGTAGAAAACAGCAAAAACGTATATATATATTAGCAAAAATGTTTTACTTACAAAAATATTCCACAAAAGGGAAAACGTTATCAACAAAGCATCAAATAAAGGGAACTGCATTAAAAACTTACAGTATTGCACCATAAATAGTCAAGGCCCTGTGTTCACAAAGAACAAAAAATCAAGAAAAAGCATCAGTTATCCAAATGTTATTCTTTTCCTATTTGGCATGACTCTTATTTTGTTCTTTTTACTATCCAGCATGATTCTTGTTTGTTAAAAGCAACAATTTATATCAAATCATACAGGAACACTTGGATTTGTTTAACAAGTATTTGAAAAGATAAAAATTTAACTCAAAATTCAAATTCAATTTAAAATAAGTAAAGATGACACAAAGTTCCAAACAGGGCAAGAATGTGATCCATGTCAATATTAAGATCTGTATTAATTAAAATAGAAATAACTTTTCTTCAAAACCTATCTTGATGTTGGTCTAAAAATTCTTGTCATAATATTAAATACAAAACTTTAATAAAAGAGATGATCAAGAAATGCTAAATTATGATTTTGGATCCCATCTTTCAAACCTGATAGTTAAATTAGAAATTTGGATCCTATCTTAATCCTTAATATGCTAAATTATGATTTTGGATCCTTATGATCTTTCAAACCTGATAGTTAAATTATGAATTTGGATCATATCCTAATCCTAATAATGCCAAATTATGAATTTGGATCCTATCTTAAACCTAATTGATTAATTATGAATTTGGATCCTATCTTAATCCTTATTATGCTGAATTATGAATTTGGATCCTATCTTAATCCTTATTATGTTGAATTATGAATTTGGATCCTATCTTAATCCTAATTCTTGATCCTTTATGAACACAAGTGCTGGATCACAACCTTATGTTCACATTACCAACAAATAAGTTCTATAACTATATACTATATAAATCTACTGATATAAAATAATTATGTCATATAATGATGTCCTATGATAATAATAATTATGTCATATAATCATAATAATAATGATGTCCTATTATAATAATAATAATGTCATGCTAATCTATAAAACATTTCACCATATCCTGTCAAATTTGTGCTGGGATATAATATAGAGGGACCAGCAACTGGAGATTACTACTGAAAACAAAATATGTACAATAAGTCAAATAGAAACTGATAATTTGTTACACATGAAAATGTTATTACAGGTCACAATATAACAACTGAAAATAACCAACATAAGACCTTTAAACAAATAACAAATAGAAATAATTGTTTTGATTTGCATGATGACCCATAAGCAGGGCTCGAGATTATAAAACTTTAGTTTTGTCTGAAATCTCAGGATTTTCATTGGTCGGTGTACATTCTGTGACAGTTCCTGACCAATCAAATTACTTGAAATCTGAGTGTGTGCTTGAAGAATTTCTTTATAACATTCAAATCAAAATCTATCGTTTTTTTAAGAATAATCATAACAGATGCTTGACCCTTCATATGCTGGATTTGTGTACCTGACTTGCCCTGCTTTGGATCTGGAAGAGTCTATTTGTATTCAATGATTTTTTTTCTAAATTGAGCTGCCAACATTATAGAGCCCGGTCAGACTGCTTGGAAATGCAGCAGCTGATCTGGTTCTATACTGGTCTAGCAAAAGTTAGTCACAGGTAAAATGTCAACATATGAAAATAACTATTTGTTTCCACAGAAAATTGGAGAAATAATTAAACTACTATCTCAGATAAAATGTATCAATTCCATCAAAATGTGGTCAACATATCCAAACAACAAATAAAAGCAATAATTCAAGAGCATTTTTAACAGTTTAATGTTGAAAAATTATTCTGTTAAACTAATTTCTTAATAAACCAATTAAAAATGTATCAATTTCATCAAAATGTGGTCAACAAATCCTAACCATGAATAACAGCAAAATTTCTACAGCATTTTCAACATTTATATAATATACTGAAAAATTTCATAAATATGAAAAAAAATCTCCATGTAAATTGAGTATTTAAAAACAAAGAAAAACAAATATCGCATCGCAAAATAAAAACAAACAGAGAAATAATTAAAAGCAGAACATAACAAAAATTTAAATTCTAAAAAAAAGCATAGCAATATTTCAGGATATTTTGTTTTAGTTTTCATGTTTTGTCATTTTATTATATGAAGCTAAACACTAACAATTAGCACTAAGGATGCATGAGAGGGACAAAAATATACATGATAAATGGCAAAAAACAGGGTCAATAAGTCACTTTGATAACTTGTACACTTCTTTTGAAACAAAAAAAAAAATGTTTAAAAAATTTCATGTTTCAGATGAGGGGAAAAAAGGTGATAGATTATAAAATTCTTTTTTGTATTTTACACCTTCAGATCATTTGAATGTTGGTGAAAATAGGTTGACATAAAAGTAGCAACATTTTCATCTTTAGTAAATATTCTGTTTTATTTTTTCTAACAAGATCAAAAATCGTATGGTTTTGTAACAAAAAATTAGAAGGTGTGGGGTTATGTCCACTCTATAAAATTGAAGGTGTGGGGTTTTGTCCACTCTTTAAAATTCAGGCGTAGGGTTTTGTCCACTCTATAAAATCTTGAGGTGTGGGGTTTTGACGTGTGGGGTTTTGTCCTACATTCGCTGTAAACAACACCAGAGTTGAGAATCGTCACCAATATTTTGTCATGTTACAATAATACAGATCATTATATCAATATATACCATTATTTCAATATAAACCTAATACATTTCACCTGACATGTATTTTCTATGTAATATACACCTAATATATTTCACCAGACATGTACGTATATTCTATGCAGTGAGATTTCTAATGTATATGTGATTCATGTAATTAGAGATATGACTTTACTAAGGCAGCAGTTCTATATCACAATAAGCACACAATGTTACACAAAAACTTACACATGCAATACACAAATATGTAAAAAAAAAAGGAAATCTACACAATAGCAATATTGCATAAAAACAAAACACAGACTTGCATGTGTACATTATTTTCACTTTCAAATTTTAAAAATTTATTGTCAATAAAGGTAGTATGTCAGATAAATTCACTTGATTCATTTTGTCTTTTATAAAATATATAAACATGTTTTGCACACAAAAAAAGAACAAAGACCAAACAAAACAAACAAAAAGAAAACCTAAGAAAAAAGCAACCAAAAAAAACAACACACACACAGAAGGTAATGTCTAGTTATAATAATCAATTCCAGTATTTCAAAAATGAAAGGAGGGCAATTATAGATTTTTTTTTCTCAGAACTAGCTGCAGAAAATAGGGCAATTTTCAAACATGTTTCTGATTTATAGGGTAACACAAACAAGGTAAATTCATTGCATGTTTTTTTTCTTCAAAATTATTTGTAAACAAAAATCAAAATAATGCAACACATTTTCTATTGTAAATCACAAAATATCGAAAGTATGTAGGATCATCTCTACTGTATTCACAGGTATGTAAGTTTTGTACACAACCTTAGTCAAACATATCATTGGTAAAGTATGTTCTATAGACTTCAATGTCTCAAATGCTTTTAACGAAACACACTAAATTAAATCGGAAAAAACATCAAACATGTTTTGAGACAAAAGACAAAACACTTATATCTGGAAGCACACAGTAAGACAGTAAGATACACCACAGAAAAAAACAAAATAGTTATCGTGTCATTAACCAATGACATTAACCCATTCCTTCCTCTTGGTACACATCCTCGCCCACATCGTGAGTCGTATCGACGCTAACCGTCTCGGCGTGAGCCTCGGTTATATAAACAGTTCTGTTATTACCTATCACTGCCATACCAGCCTCCTCATCATCGTGAAAATCTTCAGCGTAAGTTTCTAGTCTATGTTCTAAACTTGGCGTTACTTTTGTCATCTCCGTCGTGTATTCTAGCATCGGTGACGTAACACTGCGAGCACTGTCGTCAGATATAGACTGCTCCTGTTCAGCAAGATGCGACACAATACTGACTGGTTCCACTCCGTTATCGGGAGTGCTGAGTTCAAATTCAGCAGAATCTGTGGTCATTGGATCAGCAATGTCCGTGAAAGATTTAATAGCTCTAACTATTGCACTGCACATCACATCATCTAAATTCAATGCACACTGCTCGTTTTCCCTTGAAAAAGAAGAGCAAAAATAACAATTCAGAAATAATTAATCTCTATAACTGTTCCAGCTGCCAAAAAGCAACAGAAGAAACAGATCATTTAGGATATTGGCAAATGAGTAACTTTTTAGACACTATAACTCAAAACTAAAATTAAATTAAATTAAGTTTTTGAGAAATAAATTTACATATAAAAGCATGTATGGGGATAAATGGGCATTATATGGCACTTTTCATTTTTTTAAACTGATCTTTATTTAATTTTGGTTATAACAAGAATGAGGATGAAACCTTAGTCAGCCAACAGCATAGAGTCTGGTCACGAATATGCTGACAGACCAGACTCTATCTTTTTGGCATAGGTTAATCTCTTCAGGTTTCGTCAGAGCATTTAATAAACTTTGTGTAAATTTTGAGTTTATTTATACTCGCAACCAGTTGTTAATATGGGCAATTCCTCGAGAAGTGTATTAGTCATTTTATATCTGGAGGGAAGTGCAAGATACAGATACAGAAAGATGCCCCAATTCCAAAACCTTCTTCTGGTTCTTAAGGTTGCAAAATGTTAAAGCACTCATACACCGGACTTAGAGTTTAAGTCTCATCCCAAAAACTGATAAGTAACTTTAGTTGACCATCCTGGGAATTGAACCAACAATGTTGAGATTATAAATCTTGAGCTCTAACCGACTGAGCTATGCGGGCTGGCATATTAAAGGATCAACATGACAAACCTGTTATATATGGTCATGGCTATGATAGCTGGGTGGGGTATTGGCAATGGTATCTCCATCTTTGTAAATTCAGCTTCAAGTCTCTTTCTTGACCATAAATATTTCTTTTTCCTGAAAGTAAAATCCACATTATTAATTCAAAGAAACCAATATATCATTATAGCATTTTGTTTTTTACTTAACACAACAATCAACAAGACTTTTATGATGTGTATACAATCATCATGTTTGATCATAAAGGCATATCAGTAAAGGCATATGTCAGTAGGATGACCTAACTAATGTCATTTACTGGTACTACTGTTATGTTATTGGCTACTAACATGTTTTAACTACATGTACTTACATGCCATTCAGTAAAATAATTTGTTTGATATATCATTCATGACTAACAAGATATTAACTACATGTACTTGCATATCATTTCCAAGAAATCATTACTTCTGCTAACAGATTATTCACTGCTTACATGCTATTCCATTGTTGTCATTAAGAGGCGGCAGGAGGCCAAAATGCCTGTCTCAAATGCATTATGGGCCGCCTCAAAATTAAGCAAACACTCTTTGTTTAGTTTGTTATGCATGATAAAGACAGAAATGAACGCCTCAAGTTCAAAACAAACCTTTTGCAAAAAATGTTAATGACAACCCTGTATTCAATACTAACAATCTATTTGCAACCAATCATTATTTCTACTACTGGCATGTCACTATTAACATGGTTCCACTACTTACATGATATTCATTACTTACATTTTTTTTCACTACCAACAGGTTATTCACAAATAAATGTACTTCACTGCCAACACCCTTACACTATTAACATGCTATTCACTATCAACACATTTTTGACTTGTTCGTGATTATATTCCTGTGCATTTGAACTAAAACCGTGCATTATTCAACAACAACGCATTCAAAATTGAACGACATAATTGAGCCGTTTCAAGACAAAACCAACATAGTGCATTTGCGAGCAGCATGGATCCAGACAAGACTGAGCATCCGCGCAGTCTGATCAGGACCCATGCTGTTCGCTTACCAACTCTATTACAAGTAGAGAAACTGATAGCTAACAGCATGAATCCTGATCAGACGGCGCAGATGCCGAGCTGGTCTGGGTTCATACTGGTCGCAAACCCATTATGTTGGTTTTGTCATGACATGGCTCAATTATCATTCTCTATTACCATATTCACTATTCAGAAGAAATCTAAACACTATTGAAGAGTAGAATTAAATCATTTTTCTGGTCCCATAAACAATATTTTTAATTTAATAATGTGAAATAATTTTGTGATGAATTTAAAGTTTTGTGATTCAACTTTGCTCTGTTTTGAAGCCATTTTGACTAATTCTTTTACTTGTACCTGTACCTGAAATAAAGCACTTTATGCAAAAGAATAACCAAAAACAAAATTCATACCATGGACTTGAAAAAGGACTTCCTGCTATTGAACCCGTTGCGATAATTACAATTAACAAACATAACGTCATCAATGAAATTGATACCAAAGTAACAAGACATTTATCAAATGTTATTTACCTAAGCAGTGGATTGGCAGGCAACGTGACTAAAGTAAAAACTGTTGAAAGTCATTTACACATTGAATCCTGGTGGCCAATAGAGGATTGATAATATATTTCTTGTATGTATATTGTATGTATATTAGCAAACAAAACACCAGGGGATTCTTTGTTGACATGTTGTTAAGACAAAGCAGTAATTTTATTTTCTTGAAAACATGTTTACTATTTCATCTTAAACAACAAATTAACCTTTTGATAAGGCATCGGCTATCAACAAAAACAACCACAACAATAACAAAACAAGAGCTATCACTCAAACAGCACATTTCAGTTACAAAATTACAAAAAGAGTCACTAAGGAATTTTCCATACTGTTGAATAATTTCATAAAAGTCTATGTGAAAGTTCCTTCTTATAGTCAGTAACCTATTGATTGTTTTGACTGAATCTAGGTTACACCATCAATATAAATATCATATAATTACTTTCCATTTTTACTGTGAAAGAAGACCTTAGGCAGTCACTTAGTACATTATTTCTGGCATTATTTTAAGAACATCATGGTATGACATGTGAAGTTATTATGTAAACAAGGGGCCAGGTGTCACTTAGTGCATTATTTCTGGCATTATTTTAATAACATCATGGTAGGACATGTGAAGTTATAAACAAGAAACATGGCAATGCCATGAAACCAGGTTTTCAATTATCACCATTGTAGATAAATATGTTGTATTTGAAATACAAATACAAGCAACAAACAATGTAACTATGTGCAATGTAAAACATGAATAATGTATAGTGTTCACTATATATTCTGTATAAGGAAAAAAAAAAAGGGCCATAATAAGGTCAAAAATTATCCAATCACAAAACCCCGACAATATGACCAGGGCACTTGATGACAAAGCTTCTGTGAAAGTTTGGTCAAAATCCTTTGAGAAATGTAGGAAGAGTTGTGCACAGAAAAATTTGTTCACTATATATTGATAATTCTGTATAAGGAAAAAAACAAAGGGCCATAATTAGGTCAAATATTATCCAATCACAAAACCCCGACAATATGCGCCAGGGCACTTGATAACAAAGCTTCTGTGAAAGTTTGGTCAAAATCCGTGGAGAAATGTAGGAGGAGTTGCGCACAGAAGAAATTGTTCACTATATATTCTGTATAAGGAAAAAAAACAAAGGGCCATAATTAGGTCAAATATTTTCCAATCGCAAAACCCCGACAATATGCCCAAGGGCACTTGATGACAAAGCTTCTGTGAAAGTTTGGTCAAAATCCTTTGAGAAATGTAGGAGGAGTTGTGCATAGAAGAAATTGTTCACTATATATTCTATATAAGGAAAAAACAAAGGGCCATAATTAGGTCAAATATTATCCAATCGCAAAACCCCGACAATATGCGCCAGGGTACTTGATGACAAAGCTTCTGTGAAAGTATGGTCAAAATCCGTTGAGAAATGTAGAAGGAGTTGCGCACAGAAGAAATTGTTTACGCCCGCCCGCCCGTCCACCTGCCCGCCGACATACCTCAATCTAATAACCAGTTTTTTTCTTCGGAAAACCTGGTTAATAAGTGCATGTACTAGATCTTGTATGAGGAGTTATTACTTTCACGTAAGATGGGTATATTACAGACACAGTCCATACCCAAGCTATGTGCCTTCAACAGTGACTTATACTAGTATGTCAATGTGAAGTTCATGTGTATTATTTTGATGATTAATGAGAAATGAACATGCAGTTAGCCCTGACCCTGCTTGGCAGCAACTGTAACTACCTAGGCAACAAGTGCAGACCAAGATCAGCCAGCACATCTTTCTGATCATGGTCTGCACTGTTTGCTATTTACACAGTCCTTAATTTCAAAATATTCACTTACCATCATGTTCAGATTGAAAGATGAACAATTCATTTAAGATATATAACGTTGGTAAGTGTTAACCAACCGTTATGACAACCACAAAGCAAACACCATTACAAGGTGAATAAAATAGCTACAACTTAGCTTTAAATAGTTAAATCTACCAAATTCTCATTGATATACTTTCAACAATGTAAGAAACATGTGATGCTTTCAACAATGATTTAAACAATGTAAGAACAAGAGATACTTTCATCCATGTCATAATATTCAATATTTTCAACAATGTCATAACATGAGCTGTTTCATTTATGTCATAACATGTGATACTGTCAATGTCATAACACAAGATACTTTCAACCATGTCATAACCTTCAAAAATGCGATGTGAAATGACAATTTTCTAAAAAACGAACCAACCTGAGCGTTCTATAGTGTTGTGTTTGTGAGATATTTTCTGTGGGGTTAAAATATGCTACATCAAGCTGCGGAAGTTTTGTAGTCACATCTCCTGCAAAGAAAATCATCACAATACTCTAAAAAGAAATCAATATTGCTCAGATAAATTCTCCACATTAGTACATATCATTATTAAGCATTAATATTTTGTAAAGTTTGTATATTTTATATTCAAATTAAGTGATTACAGTACCAAAATGCTTGTAAAATTTGAGTGCCACACACACAAAAGCCTGGTCAAAAAGCCTAGACAAACTGCCTGTCCTGACTCTACACTGCTGGTTATACTTTCAATAAAATTCAAAGATTAATTCAACTATAAATCATTCACATTTACATAGATCTTTTTTTTAAAATGCACGAAATTATTTTTTTTGAATCCGTAAGAAAATTAACTTTGTTTAACAAAACTGTCAAAGATTTTAGCCATTCAAATGTAAAAATCCAACGGCTTTAGTATGAGTTTACCTGTGTTAGTATGCACCTCTGTGACAACATCTAAGTCATCATGTACATCAGCTGTCTCTAACATAGTGATGTAGCGGGCAAGATTTAAATGTTGTACCTAAATAAATGATGGTTACAAATAAACACAAAACATGATTTTTTTTATGAAATACAAATGCTTTGGCTAGACCCTCAGACAAAAATAATGAAATTGGATTTTGACTAAAGGAGGTTTTGCCCATTCAGGTCAATGGAACCAGAAAGATAACTTGTATATTTAGCTCTTAAAATTCAACCTAAACATTTGTTTAACTTTGCACTTTCTGTAGTATTGCACTAGAGAAAAAAACCTGACACAAAACTGATATAATTTATAGATATACAAATGTCATGTATTGTTGAAATTTACCTTTAACTCAAAATGGCTATCAGCATCTTCCATAGGTACTAGGAAAGCTGGGGAGAAAATACTGGACAACTTTTGACTTGCCAAGCCTACAATATAGTCAATAGTATATACATGTATAAGTAAATAATAAACAAAACTTTTCAACTGACATAGGATTGGAAAGTACTCATATGTGCATAAACTTTGTTGGCGAAGTAAATTGATATAAAATTATTGGGTGAATAGAAGGACTTAAAAGCATTTTCTGTTTAAAGAGAATATTTCATGACATATCCCTACTAATAATTTTAGTTTCACAGTTTTGATCTTTATGCTTTGACTTTGAAACTGTTTGTTTCATCCTTGAACTGCTGGAACTCAAAGTGGTCAGCATTTGACATTTATTCTAGTGTACTGGTAGCTGACCAACTTCACACTTTCATGACGTAAATATCCCCAAAAATGAAACTGGACAGTTCCAAAATTAGAAGCTGGACAAGTCTATTTAAGAAATTAAATTGGTTAACTGTTAAAGATCCTGTAACACATTTTTTTCATGGTTTTATTTCATAAATATGACGCTCAAATTAAGAATTGTCAATCTTGTAAGTTCAAATAAGCATTATTTATAAAGATATTACCCAATTTAACATTTTGCGTAAATAAAGGGAGGTAATTAGAAATTTATTTTCTATAAATTCCAAGTCAAATTTTCCAATAAGAAATGAATGCATGTAACTTATTCATTAAATATAATGTGCACAAATATTTGCAGTACACATTTTACATATTCTTGGATGTTTGAAAATTGTTTTATTTGCATAATTATATACATATATAACATTTTCCAAGTGTATGATACATACAGTAACAATATCAATCACAAAACATACAGGATCTTTAAGATACCTTACATACCTAAGTCAGTTAGAGTGCAAGACTTGTAATCTTGACATTGTGGGTTCAATCCTGTGCTAGCCAACTAAAATTACTAATCAGTCTTTCGGATGAGACTTTTAATCAAGTGGATGTGTGCTTAAACACTTGACATGCTAAAGAACCAGGATATGCTGTATTCTGTATCTTGCACTATCCTCCAAGATCTAAAATGACTGATACTCTTCTAGAGGACTCATTGTGACTTACAGATGAACAAAAAATGTCTTCATCAAATTATATATTAACCTGTCCAGTCTCTAAACTCCAGTGCCTTCCTCTCCCAGAAGTCTTTCTCCGGTGTTGTCATCAAGCTGAATATATGGCTAGGGTAGAAGGACTCCAACATTCTTGCTGCTTGTAATATGGTCAGCTACATTAAATATAACAATACATATCATACTGAAAATGTACAGAATAAACACAACTGTGACAAAGTAGTACAAAGAAACTACTTACAACCATAATCTTTATGTTGTTGAATACATGCAACAGAATTGGCATGCTTTATAACTGCCAAATAGAAGTTTGTAAGGTTTCAATATCAAACTACTGAAATTTAGCACCCAACAGTATAGCCAAAAAACCTTTACCACACTAAATATCTTCAACTGATTTGTCTTCTTTTCAATCTGAACAAACTCATTCAATATTTTTAAAGAAAACATCTATTAACTGAATAGGGAACAATGCAGACCTTGGTCTTATGCAACAGACATACTGGCAGACCTTTGTCTGATCTGGTTGCATGATTAAGAATCTGTTGCTGCCATCAAACTAAGAATAAGTATTGCAAGAAAATTATTATTACATTATAAAGTTATATTACAAACCTTGAGCTGTTTCTCTTCCAGTTTAATCTTGTTTTGTACATTCAAATTAAGACCAGTATTGAGGCGTCTCTGTCTCCTAAAAAATAAAACAATTATTCTTATCATAATAAATCAAAATAAAAAAAAAAATTCTTTAAACTACAATTCCTTTAACATCAATGATCCCAATCAAAATGATTTACAAAACAACAGTTCCAGCCAGAAATGATTCAAACATTGACAAACAATCATCAAGTTTCAATTCATAATGCAGTAGCAGGATAAAATTTCATGCCATATCTGTTGGGCTGCCTCCTTATCCAAATCCCTCCTGTGGCACAGTTGTCGCAGAGAAGGCATAATATCAATGTCATGTCATCCCAAATACCAGGGATGATTGGCTATCCTGTTGAACCTAACTCAGGAGGTTTGCGCTTACAAGAGCCATTGTGTTTAAAACAAAGTATTGTCAACCTTTTTAACAACATGGAACGAAGAATGGGCTTGGGTTAGATTCAGCCCAAAAAGTTTCCGCTGAAGAGGGTACAAGACCGAACCAGCATAAGGATAAATCTGGAGGCGAGTATAAATAAGTTATAAAAAAAAAACAACAACAAAATTTATGTTTGGACACATGGCTCCCTTTTAAAAAGTCTTCAATGCTTTAAACAAAAATGCTTTTAAGCAATGTATAACAATGTAATCAATTATCTATAAACTGGACAAATTGTTTTGGTCATATCCTGGCAGTCAGTCCACCTATCCAGCTTTCCTAACTAACTAGTAATTGCTAATTTCTCCACAAGTAACAGATAACTAATCCCACATCATAACTGAATCAGTGATGAGAGACAATTTATGACCATTAGACTCCATATTCTAGATCAATTATTACAAACATATTTTATTTTGTCATGCCCTTAGACCTTTAACCAGTTACCCCAGGAATACAAATTCAATGTTCTCCTTATTGAGCAAGAAACACTCATATAGTTATACTGCAAAGAGCATAACCATCAATTTTTAGATAAATTATCACAAACATATTTCGTCACACCCAAAGATTGAAACCAGCTACCCCTGGAATACAAATTCAATGTTCTCCTTATTGAGTAAACTAAGTGGACAATGTCACACCGCAAAGAATGTAAGCATCACTTAAACAATACAATCTGCTGCCGTTGCCAAGATACATTAACAAATATGATCACTATTGATTCTCCGTGCAGGATTTAAATATCATGATTTTGGTGCAAGATGCAATTTGTACATGGAAACAAAAAAACCAAAAAAATCAAAACTGTGATGTTGATAATGAGCAATGTATTGATCAATACTTTTGTTGGTGTTTTGTTCATGTATAATAGAAAATATTGATAAATCGTGAATTATATATATTATTATAAAAGGTGATGATATACATGAGTTTTGTATTATGGTACGTAATATAATAGAAAAATAAGAAAGTAAAATAAATATACATGTAACTGAAGAAAATACTATTTCTTATAAAAATTAAGAAAAAAATTATAAGAAAATACAGTCAACAGGACTTTTGTTATTACTTTTCAATAAGTTAAAGAAGAAAGTAGTCTTACTCAGCAGCAAATGAGATGACTTTAACCTTTCATATTCAGACAAGAAAGAAGCATATGTCTTTAAATAAATCACATCATCAATATTTAGTTTTAATGAACATAAAAGCAAATGCAAGATTTTATTCATTAAAGTGGCCTTCAGCTTTTCTTAAGGTTAAATATGGTATTTTTTAGATAAATCTTTTCATATAATTGTCAAATCAAAAGAATTAATGTGTAAATGAAATTTGCTATCAATAAAAAACATTACCTCAAAACCTCTAGTTAAACAGACCATTCTCTGTCTGTAAATTGGTAAAAGGGATGAGTTGGTTCCCAAACAAATGTCACCGAGTGCTATAAATAGCTCTCTGGGTACTGTTTTGAAGAAGGCCTAACTGTGGCATGATGCACGTTTACTAGGTAATAATACTGAAATTTTTAGTTTAAACTAGAACTGCCACTATCTTGGCGTGAATACCCCCGCATACCAGTTTGTCAGAATCAACAGTGGCCATTTAGAGCTCAAGGACAACCTCCCTGCCAAATCTGAGGTTACTAAGCCAGTGCTAAGTTATGTATTCTACAAGCTTCAAATGTGAAAATGTCAAAATCAATACATTGCTGACAGGACATTCTTTAGCAATTGAGAAGAAAAGCTTTTTTTTTGTCAAGGTCCCTGTGACCTTGACCTTTGACCCAGTGACCTCAAAGTCAATAGGGGTCACCTTATAGTCATGATCAACATCCATGCCAAATATGAAGACTGTGGGTCAAAGGAATCTTAAGTAAATGGGTGGACAAACTTTCTGAAGTCAAAGTCCCTATGACCTTGACCTTTGATCCAGTGACCTCAAATTCACAAGGGGTCATCTACTTATCATGATTAACATCCATGCCAAATATGAAGACTGTGGGTCAAAGGAATCAAAAGTTATTGGGCAGATAAACTTTTTGAAGTCAAAGTCCCTGTGACCTTGACCTTTGACCTGGTGACCTCAAAATTAATAGGGGTCATCTACTAATCATGACTAACCTCCATGCCAAACATGAAGACTGTGGGTCAAAGGAATCTTAAGTTATAGGGTGGACAAGCTTTTTGAAGTCAAGGCCCCTGTGACCTTGACCTTTGACCTGGTGACCTCAAATTCAATAGGGGTCATCTACTAATCATGACTAACCTCCATGCCAAATATGACGACTGTAGGTAAAAGGAATCTTAAGTTATTGGGCGGACAAGCTTTTTGAAGTCAAGGCCCCTGTGACGTTGACCTTTGACCTGGTGACCTCAAATTCAATAGGGGTCATCTACTAATCATGACTAACCATCATGCCAAATATGACGACTGTAGGTCAAAGGAATCTTAAGTTATTGGGCGGACAAGCTTTTTGAAGTCAAGGCCCCTGTGACCTTGACCTTTGACCTCAAAATAAATAGGGGTCATCTACTAATCATGACTAACCTCCATGCCAAATATGAAGACTAAGGGTCAAAGATATCTTAAGTTATTGGGTGGACAAGAAAAAACCGACGGACGGCCGGACGGACAAGCTGATTCCAGTATACCCACCTTACAACTTTGTTGTGCGGGGGTATAAATAGAGCAGGATATTGTTTTTCCACGAAAAATAAAAGCTGAAGAAGGCTTTTACTTTACTGTGGCATTTAATTCTTGCTGAATAAGATACTGTAAGATCAACTTACGCGTTCACTTTATTTGTAAGGTCAGTTTTATAGTTGGATGTCTCATCTTGAAGTTCTTTATACACACCCTGATGCTGGAGACTAGCAGAGAACGGTGCAAACACTCGTGAAACAAAATCACTGAAATATAGTAAATAAATATGCAAGTTTAAAAATAGAAATAAACACACAAAAATGAAATATATCAAATAATCAATATATAACTGTTTATTACACATTGTCATTTTTTACCAAATGAGTTTATTTTTATGCTAAATATATTTAAAATTGCTGCATATTGTTCATAAGTCACTTTATTTATGTTTAATTCTCGAGTTAATATTAATTAAATTAATTTTTTTGCCAAATATGAAGCAAGATGAAATATCAAGGGGGACAACTCACATGAGCAGATGTCTCAATGTAATAGTTTGTACAATAAGAGTTATTCCTCTTGAAAGAGTGAAACATAAATGATTGTAAGAAATTAGATACAGTTAAAACCATTAAAATTTCTGAGGTTTTACCAATGCTGTAATTAATTTTTAGTTTTTGCATAATTATCTAACCCTTTTAAAGGAATTCATGACATTGCCAAACTTGATTTTGATTTATTGTAAAATTGTGAACTTTACAAAACTGAACTCTTTTTCATTTTTTTTTTCAGAAAAATTAATATGCACAACAGTGAAAATTCTACATCCCAAGTAAATGAAACAACAAAACATGTAATTTTGTACACCATTTATAATTCAGCCATTAAAATTACATTATGAATATTGACTTATATTACACATTGTCAAGTAATGTAACTTAATCCTGAGTAATAATTTTAAAGAGGATTTCCAATTTTTCATACGCATTAAAAGTTTAATATTTCAACGATTAAAATTTTCCGTTTCTGTCAATATTTGAGGACCGAAGCATTGTCTGGCTGAACGGTATTATCTTCTAAACTGATCTGTTATCAATTGTGGCATCACATGGATAAAAATTGGCTATTAAATAAGCTTGCATTCATTGATTTCTAAATGCTTTACAAACAGATTTTAATCTTTACATAAAAATTACATTAATAGTGGCCAATTAAATCCCATGCGGCCTGAAAAATGCCGCTAAAACACCAAAACAGCTTTGCCCAAACAGCTTTACTGAAACCATTTTATTTACGATATATATTAATTGGCAGAGTTCCTTCAAATTTGGAAATTGGCAAAATTTGGTGGAGTAATTTGTGAGTGTTAGTGACCCAGATATATATATACTTAGGTTGTGTCCATTAATTAACACCAATTTTCTTCTGATAAGAAGTACCTTATGCAATCTTTATTTTCATTGCCCTTGGGGCATTCTGAATTTTTATTCTGCTTTCCACAATCATTGTACATAATGAATTTCTATGTACATAGGCTCGCAACCTGATAATTTCTTTTGGAGAAATTATTTTTATTAAACACTTATCATGATTAAGCAACAAGTCCTTAAAAAAAAAAGAAGAAGAAATTTTCAGACACTAACATACGAAATATTAACTCACTTAGAGCAAATAATCTAAAGATTCCATCTTAGAAGAATTGTCAGTAAAATTGGATATATATTTCTGTGTAGCCAACAGTCCCAATAGAATTAATTAAACTGCGAGTTTTTTATATAAACATTTATGAATAATAGCACAAATACTGCATTCCCTGGGTGGTATTTGAAGGCATTCCGTTAATACCTTTAAAGTAGAAATGTCTTCCTGGTTAATTAATAAGCCATGCCTCTCTAATGGATGCTTAACTAGATAATGGTACATGTGAAAGAAGTCTAATACAATTACTGCAAACACAATTACCACACACTGCCTGCCTGCAACAACATTAACTACAACTGATGTACAGACACAGTCTCTATAAACTTAACAAAAGCATTGAATATCAATTCTTGTACTATAAGAAAAGACAGATTTGCCTAAAAATTAATCGTTTATTGCATTATGCTTTATGCATTTAGTGACAAAAATATTTATAACAAATTTATCGCAGACAGTAAATGGCTATGATATATAGGAGGATTTCTTTTTGGTTAAGTGTTTTAGGCTTCAATCAATATTTGTTTCTTTATAAATAAAATGTATTACATAGAAAGCATAGAAACCCTGACATTCATGGTAAAATTAAGTTAACAATCTAAGACTAAAACCTAGAAATGTGCCCAAAGGACACTAGTATGCTCTTGCCTTATAAAATGAGGCCATGGAAAAAGCAAATGTAAATTGTATGTATTTATTTTTTTGTAACATACTGATTGTTCTAATATAGCATTGAAAGTGAACCTATGGTGACCAACATTTTTAATTTCAAATGACCCTTTATTATGACCCTTTATTATGCTATCAAAATGACACTCGAACTTTTTCATAAGAATAATTCAAAACAATTCAATAAGTTAACACAGGATTGAATTTATCTTAAGAGAGATAGAATATATTGTCACCTTATTGCAGTAACGGGTTAACTCCTTATATAATTTGACAGGAGTTAAATAGTCTATAAGACTAAAACCTACAAATGTGCCTAAAAGGACACCTAAGGCCCTTGCCTTATAAAATGAGGCCATGGAAAAAGCAAATGTAATTGTATGTATTTATTTTTTGTAATATACTGATTGTTCCAAATATAGCATTTGAAAGTTGAACCTATAGTGACCAACATTTTTACTTTCAAATGAGCCTTTATTATGCTATCAAAATGACACTCAAACTTTTCCATAAGAATAAATTCAAAAACAATTCAATAAGTTTAACACAGGGATTGAATTTATCTTTAAGAAGAGAGATAGAATATATTGTCACCTTATTGCAGTAACGGGTTAACTCCTTATATAATTTAACAGGAGTTAACCTGTTATATGTACTGCACTTAGATGATGATGTGAAAAAAATATAGAGTAAAAATACCAAAATTTTGATAATATAATTAGCATCACTTTTATGACATGTATGCACTTCACTAAAACAGTTGCCTTAGAACAGTCTATATATATATGTATGATATATAATTTGCGCCCGTGGGCAGGTTATATACATTATTAATTAGCTGATGTAACAGGAGGCGTCAAGATATTTTATAATGTTAGCAGACTAAATGGCTACCTTTCTCTTCTAGCTAATGGTATTTTAATGAGAGTAAATCAATGTAATAACTAAGCTTTCTCTATCGCACTTACTAATGATACCCTACACCTAACAGATGATGAATTAATAATTACAAACATAGCAATGGTGTCATCTCAAACTACCAGTATTGTAAGCTGTACCAAGTGATTTAAAATCAAATTAAAAATGTATACTAGCTCTGAATATCACACAAAAACATACCAGTAATTGTATGAATGCCTATATATCATATTGTAACCATATCAACAGTGTCAAGTCTGTCTATGAGCTCCCCAAAGTGAGCTAATATGTCTGTTTTGAGGAGATACAATAAAGTACAATGTTAATATCTATACAAATTTAACACTTCTGTACTAAAAATTTTTTTTTTGCAAAATCTGAATTAACTTCATTAACATTGAATGTCATTGCACTTGTTGTGACTTAGGTAATAAGGTTCATGCCAGTGTCTACTAACAGCTACTTGTTGTGACGGAGGTAATAAGATTCACGGCCCAGTGTCTACTAACAGCTACTCGTTGTGACGGAGGTATTAAGATTCACGCCAGTGTCTACTAACAGCTACTTGTTGTGACGGAGGTAATAAGATTCACGCCAGTGTCTACTAACAGCTACTCGTTGTGACGGAGGTAATAAGATTCAAGCCAGTGTCTACTAACAGCTACTCGTTGTGACGTAGGTAATAAGATTCATGCCAGTGTCTACTAACAGCTACTCGTTGTGACATAGGTATTAAGATTCATGCCAGTGTCTACTAACAGCTACTCGTTGTGACATAGGTATTAAGATTTATGCCAGTGTATACTAACAGCTGTTCATTGTGACGTAGGTATTAAGATTCACGCCAGTGTCTACAAACAGCTACTCATTGTGACATAGGTATTAAGATTCATGCCATTGTCTACTAACAGCTACTCGTTGTGACATAGGTATTAAGATTTATGCCATTGTCTACTAACAGCTACTCGTTGTGACATAGGTATTAAGATTTATGCCAGTGTATACTAACAGCTGTTCATTGTGACGTAGGTATTAAGATTCACGCCAGTGTCTACAAACAGCTACTCATTGTGACATAGGTATTAAGATTCATGCCATTGTCTACTAACAGCTACTCGTTGTGACATAGGTATTAAGATTCATGCCAGTGTCTACTAACAGCTACTCGTTGTTAAAGAGGTAATAAGATTCACGCCAGTGTCTACTAACAGCTTTTCGTTGTGACGGAGGTATTAAGATTCATGCCAGTGTCTACTAAGAGCTACTCGTTGTGACGGAGGTAATAAGATTCACGCCAGTGTCTACTAACAGCTATTCGTTGTGATGGAGGTATTAAGATTCATGCCACGTGTCTACTAACAGCTACTCGTTGTGACAGAGGTAATAAGATTCACGCCAGTGTCTACTAACAGCAACTCGTTGTGACGGAGGTATTAAGATTCAAGCCAGTGTCTACTAACAGCTACTCATTGTGACAGAGGTAATAAGATTCACGCCAGTGTCTACTAACAGCTACTCATTGTGACGGAGGTATTTAGATTCATGCCAGTGTCTACTAACAGCTACTAGTTGTGACAGAGGTATTAACATTCACGCCAGTGTCTATTAACAGGTATTCGTTGTGACATAGGTATTAACATTCACGCCAGTGTCTACTAACAGGTATTCGTTGTGACATAGGTATTAAGATTCATGCCAGATGCCAGTGTCAACTAACAGCTACTTGTTGCGACGGAGGTAATAAGGTTCACACCACTGTCTACTAACAGCTACTCGTTGTGACGGAGGTATTAAGATTCATGCCAGTGTCTATTTACAGCTACTCGTTGTGACAGAGGTATTAAGATTCATGCCAGTGTCTACTAACAGCTACTTGTTGTGATGTAGGTAATAAGATTCATGCCAGTGTGTACTAACAGCTACTCGTGTGACGTAGGTAATAAGTTTCATGCCAGTGTCTACTAAAACCATCCAATCATTA